TTTTTTATGGTTTCCTATATTAATTTTGAAAACATTTTAGTCAATTGTAGAATAGTCTTGTATTTAAATAAAATATTTATGTAACTCAGTGGTAAATAATAAGTGTCAGTTTTTCTCATACCTACTTTTGTTGACTATTGTTAAACTGTTTGACTTTATCAAGAATTTTTAAGATTCCACACTACAAAATAAGTAATAAAAGTATGTATTATGCTGCTTTTGGTAAAGAAACTGAAAGAATACCAAATTTGAATAATTTCAATAGATCACTTTGTCCTCATACCAGACTCTGCTGTCTGCAGCAATGTGTGTGTGTGTGTTTTTTTTTTTTACTGCATGCTTGAACGTGTGTTAGATTGATACTTCCTAGACATGGTGATGATGAAAGAAGTTGAAGCAAAATGCAACATTGTCAACATTTCCTAGTAGTGTGGGCCTGTCTGTATTATTTGTGACAGTGGGGATTTACCTAGCTTTCCCTCTAAACCCAAGCTGTCACCTTATGTCTGTTTATCTGAAATGAAAAGAATCTAATATTAGAAATCAAATGATGCAAACAAACTTTGTCTGTGTAAATCTAGAAATTTAAAAAGACCGCCTGTCAGGAGAAGCAATGTTGTATACAGGACAAAAAAATTAAAATAAAAATACGACTAAATTGAATCATTTCAGCAGGTTCAAKTTTTGCTTGTTTTTGTTAGGAAAACAAACATTTTGAAGGTAAAATTTAATCTTGAATAAATTGTATAGGTAACAAATTTAAATTTCAACCTTAAGCGGAGCTGTTCATTTGTGTGCTAATGTACTAATTATACTAATGTATTTCATTCATTCATTCATTCATTCATTCATATATTCATTTTGGCATTTGGCTCTTCTGAGGTGGTGAACCCAGTTAAGAGTAAAGCTCAAGAGAGAAAAGAAATAAATTTTAGAAACAAACATCAAAGGCACTAAGGCAGGAYGTCCAGAGTCAAAGCTACATTTACAAGAATGTGAATAAGCATCAGGCCAATGTGAATAAGGAACACAAAGAAAACTAAGAAACCACTGAACCATTGCTTCAGGGGTTCATAACCCTACAGCAGGGCTGTTCAACCAAAGTCCATCCCGCCAATTGGTTCATCTGAGTCTGAAGCCCAAACCCCCAGTTTTCTACTTTAATTACTATAAGTTATTTTAKTTAAACATAGACATGTTTGGTATCTACTGAAACATCAGAATCTTGGCTACAAGCWGGTAAAAACCATTTCAATGAACACCCAAGAAAGTTAAAACTATAGGCAGCTGAAGATTAAACTATGAAAGTGAAAATGAAATTGGTTTAAAAATTTGGTAAGCCAGAGACGTCAAAATATTAATTGTGGTAAATAAGAGGCATAATGTGTTATTTTTGTTTTTGTTGTTTTATTATCACTACTTTTATTACATGGGGTTCTGTATGTTGTATTCATGATGCAGCAAAATAAACTATTTCAAAGGTGACAGGTCTTTGTAATACTTGGTTTAATTACATAATGACTTTAATTGCTGAATGTTCGGCCCCTCAGCTGTTGGCCTGCATTAACTGTGGCCCCCAGAGCAATTTAGTTGAATAGCCCTGTAATCCCAGCCATGATGGGAGTTGGTCAGAACATGGGAATAATAAAGCAGCTTAATTTTGTCCTTTTTTAAAATCTGTTTTTGCACATGAAACAGCCTTTTTCATAAAACAATTCAACAGAATGATCACGAATAGACATAGAGGCAAACTGATTAAATGTGTGACGGACGCCATCTTTGTATGATTTTCAAAACATGACAAATAAACTCAGCTTAACGATTCTCTTGGTGATTCACAAATTTTTCCAGCAACACAAAAAGTTGCTGTGCGTCATTACTGACCTTTTCTAAACCTGCTTTGTTGTTTAATCCCACGACCAGATAGCTGCACTGACTGTATTTCATAGCTTCATAAAATATTGAGCTCAAAGTTGGTTTACCTTTTGCAATTATCAACTATTTTGGCTGCATTGCTTGGCATCACAGGGAGGCATCATAGATGAGTTGGTTTCAACTCCTGCTTGCTGCCTCAGTCCGTTCAGAAATGCCACTGAGGTGAACAGGAGTTTGGTTTGAGGTATCTTGTGAAAGTCCTTAAAGTATCATCATCTAGTGTTTGTAGTCTCAGTGTTACAGACTTGCACCACAGCAAAGTATGAGTGTGGTTAAAAAAAACATCATGTTTGACTTAATTAATCTGTTCAAACTTTCCCTACTGATAATCCCGTAATGTTTTCATCCAAGCTCAAGGACAAATAAAAAGAAGATTAGGAATTTATTGTTTTCAACATTCAAGACTAACTAGAATCGACCAAGTAGGGTCTTTACAAATTAAAACAGAAAGTAAAGTCAGCCTGAATGAACACAGACAAGTCAATATTTTGCCCACATGTCAAAGTTCAGTGATTTTATGATTAATATGTACCAAGTCTGAAGGCGGACAAAAGTGTTGCATGATCTCCGGCTATGACTCAAATAAAAGGAAGTGAACCATTCAGTGATTATTATAAGCATCAGATCAATGTTCACATGATGGTTTTCAAGGTATTTGAGAAAGTGTAGTTTTTTGAGATTACTGCTAAAAAATACTGATTTTATGCTCATGTAAAAGCAGCATAGTGTGCTTTTAAATGTGTGTGAGATTTAAAATAAAAGCTATGCAATATGGGCATGACTGATCAAGCTCTGATTGTTCAGYTTTAATAAGTGATCTTCAAGTATACTGTTAAATGACTTTCTTGTAAGTTTTTATTTTTATTTTTCATGAAAGTGTGGATTTCAAGCTTTACAGCAAAAAAAAAAGGTGGCATTAGTATGTCCTAACAAGAATTTACATGTGCATCTTAAATACTTTACCTGATCTACTCTAAATCAGACTGCACTGACCGACCTACACACACACACACACACACACACACACAC